CTGAAGCTGCACATGTTGGTGTGACTGTTCATTTGGCTGCTCGCTCTTTAATTTCAGTTCTTCTGATGAGATAATTTCTTTTAACCCATCTTCAAATCTGTCCTCTCTATCGTCAGGTTGTGTGTATGTGTGTATGTGTGTTTAATTGAATTTTGTAATTTTAGTTCTAGGATTTGTTTAATTTGCTTTTATAGTTTCTGTTACTGAGCTAAAATTTTCCATCTGTTCATTAAGTCCATGAGCATATTCATAATAGTTACTTTGAAATCCCTGTCTCTGTTTTCTTTGGGATCTGTTTTATTTTGTTTGTTTCATTTTGGCTAGGGGTAATGTTCTGCCCCCCTTTTTAAAAACATTTTTAGTAAGTGGATTGTATACTAAATATTTGAAATTAGACATAGCAGAGACTCTAAGTGCTGTTGTCTTTCTTACCAGACTGTTGATTTTTTTCTAGTAGATAGTTTTGAGTGGCCTCAGTCCAGACTTTCCCTTCATAGGCGATAGCAAAATTGCAATTCTTTCAACTTTTGAAATGCTTTCAACTTTTAGCATGCCCGCAACGGTCTGCACATGTGTAATTTAGGTCTTAGGAAGGTGGGTTGGCCATGTGGGAGAACAGGAAGAAGTTCTTGGCTCCTGGTTTCACCCTGACCCATCCCTGGCTGTTGTGGCCATCTGGGGAATAAGCTAGTCCATACAGGCTCAGTCTCGTGCTCTCTGGCTTTGTGTATGTGTATGAGTAAATAAATCTTTAAAAATAAAAAAGGTGGCAGATGGTATTCAGATTTGTATTTTGATACCCCCCACCTCTTGTGGATTCCTTCTTTAAAGAATGTCTCTTCCATTTCCAACCTCTCAGCAGCCCCAACTCTGTCCTGTTGTCACCTGTTGCCTAGCTCACTAGAACTGTAGTCTTGGTCCTGAGACAAAACACACAGACTCCTCTGGTGCAGTTCTCTCTTCCACACAGATCCGTGTCCCTTCAGCTATTTTAATCCACTTTTGATCTGTTTACAGATAGGTAATGAATATGCCTTGTTAAGGGGTCATTGTTATCTGAAAGAAAATAAGCTTTGATTGATACTACTTTTTGAGGTTACTGGAAGCAGGAGCTCATTTTGTATGTGCATTCTTTTGCTGACTGCATACTATTTTTTTAAAAATTTGTTTAGTTTGTTAACTTGTTTTCCACAATACATTTTTGTAGGTATAGGAATTCATCCCTCCCCATTTGTCCCTCCTGTTAGTTTCTTCTGTGTTATCACAATAGTATATAGTTCCTTAGTAAAAGTTGGAAGTTGAATTTTCTGACATTTAAATGTATCGTGGCATGATACGTACAGGCAAAAGTAGTAAGCCTAGTATCATATTTTAGAGCTATAGTTAAAAGTTTCATTGGGAGTCTTTCTCTTACTTGGCAATAGATATACATACTACATAGTACCTTTACTTCCCAGTATGCTAATTTCTGTTGTGCGGTGTATGTATGTTAATATGTGTAAGTTTTTTGTTTGCATATATATGTTTACTTTGTGTATTGGTTGGTGGTTATATCAGAGAGAACACTTGATGTTTGCTCTTTTGGGACTAGCTTACTTTACTGAGTGTAATGGTTTCCAGCTGGGACCATTTTGTTGTAGATGGCAAGATTTTATTCCTCTTTGTGGCTTAGTAGTAGTCCATTGAGTAGATGTAGTACTGTTCTTTATTCATTCCTCAGTTGGCAGGCATCTAGGTTGACTCTGTTTTCACTATTGTGAATTGTGCTGCTGCAAAAATGGGATTTCAGGTCATTCTCTACAATGCAGATTGTATTTCCTTTGGATATATTCCCAAGAATGGGATGGCTGGGTCATATGGTAGGCCAATATGTAATTTTCTGAGTACTCACCATACTAACTTCCAAAATGGTCATACTAGTTTACATTCTCATCAACAATGGAACTGGATGCTTTCCCCCCCCATATTGTCGCTGCAATTACTGTTGCTGGTTTCCATATGTAGACCATTTTCATCTCTGGAGTTAAGTGGAAGTGCATTGTAATTTTAATATGCATTTCTCTATCAGCTCCAGAACATTTTTTTGTACTGCTTTAATTATTGAAAATGTATAATTGTTTCAGTATCTGGTATGGCTGGCTAGTCTCTCTTGGTCAGGCTTTCCCTGATCATACTATTTTGGTTGTTATATGTTGAATAGTCTTCTCTGGATCTTCTAACAATTTTGTTATTTTTTATTGTGACTGCATGAAATGTATAAATTTGGTGGAACAAATATCTGATATTGCCGTGGAGTTTTTTTCTTTGATCATTGTATTTACTTTATAATTTAAAAATGTGTTTTTTGTTTTGACTCATTTTAAATTCTGTTGTAGATACTTTGTGTTCTCAAGAATATTTTTAGCATAAACAAAGATTTTTCTAGCTAGAAGCAACTTTGTATTTCTAAATAAACCTTCCAGTGTTGGGAGGAGGTATTTATAACATATGGAGAACCTGTATCGGAATTTGGCTCAGTCAGGAAGGAGTCCAGGCCGGCCTGCCACTGCATTGATCCCATGTTCCTGACAACAACTGTTCTGAGTTCTGGCAAAGCTCATACAGCAAAGCACTGAAACTCTAAATGTCTGTTTTTGTTTCTGGATTTTGTGTAACTTGAAGGAAAAGTTCTTTCTAATATTTTAAAACAGTGTATTGATTTATACTTCTGTCAAATGTCCCTTCATAAGATTAGAATTTAGTTAATTCTGTTATACCTTAAAATTTACCATGCAATATCCAGTGTTTTTATTTAAATAGAAAAAACTATTTATGTCAGGGATTTTTAATCAGCTTTTTTATTTTTTAAAGAAAGTTGAAAATATATTTTGGGCCTTTCTCGGACTCTTGTAGACTGCTAACAAGGCAAGAGAGTTGTAAAATGTTTTGAGATCTGAGGAAATGTATGGACATGCTGTTTGCTTTTTCTCTTTAATTCCCAGTTACTGTGGCTCCAGCGCAGGCCTAGCATTTCCGTGCAGCTCAGTGGCTGCGTGAGAAGCCTCGCCAGCGGACTCCAAGATTGTGCTGGCTCTTCGGGTTAGCCATCAGCCCACCAGCCTTGTATATATTTGGAATTGGATCAGTTTATTTTCAGAAGGTGTTTTTTGAAATATACTTTCCTCCATGCATGAAATTTTGATGGTTTATAGTATGAAAAGTGGAATGAAGTTTTGGGAATTTTCTTTGGACTGATTTAAAAAGCACAACTTTAAGAGAGATACTAGTCAGAAGTTTCATTCGCTGACAGCACTATAATCCCTTTCATATCCCACAATTGAGAAGTGACTTTAAAATTAAGCAGTGGCAGGGAAGAAGGGAGAATAACATCTAGGTTGTTCATGTTTTGGAAAGAGTGTGGGAGAAAAACTTCTAAGTTTTAGTAGAATGACTTAAAAATCTTTATGGTTATTGTTTTTTTCAGTGAGACTGAATATGTAAGTGTCAGCCAAATGGAGAATCCTCATTGTGGAGGTGTGTCCATTTCAGTTAGAATTTTCCTGTATTAAAGATACCAGTAGACAAAAATCTGGATTAAAAAATGAGGAGTTATTAATGAAGCTAATGCCATCTGTGTCGAAAAGTAGAAGATATTGGGAAGGGCTTAATAGTTATGATTTCATTAAGCTAGAGAGCATTGATGTTCACATTTTAAAAACATAATCATAACTTATCTGGAGTCATGTTCATTTTATTGGCTTCCTTCATATAGAAAATATAATGAACACTGAATGTGAAAAGTGAAGCAGTGTATATTTTCTGGGTGAAGGAAGTATTCTGTACATTCTCCATGTTTTACATCATGGTATTTTGAATAACCATGCTTCCATGTTCACATCAATTTTTTGTTTTTTCAATTTATGCACAGCACTTGCTCTGAAATTTGGGGACTGAGTACACCAAATACGATAGATCAGTGGGATACAACAGGCCTTTACAGCTTCTCTGAACAAACCAGGTGAATATTCTGCCCTCTGTGGAATCTAGACCTTTTGTGGGAGGGGGGTGTTTTGGAAGACCTATACTGGGTGGCTTAGTGTAATTTTGCATAGGATGTTTCCTTAATGTAAAATAAGGCATAGCATTTAAAATATCTGCTTGCCAGTATTACAAATATAATGTTTCAGCTGATGTTTTGATCAATGCAGTTCTGGTTTTTAATCTTCTTTAACTTAGTTAATCCCATAAATAATAAGAATTTTGATAACTATATACTCATTTTAGGTTGAGATTAGATTATAATCTGTTGGCACAATTTTAAAGCAGATGACAGATTTTTGCTAAATACCTTGTTATCGTCTAAATCTCATCTTTATACTACTAATACATAGTTATTTACTGAACCCCTTATGTCACAGTTAACAGGCTTACTCATTTCATGTTCTTTTAAAGTCGCTTCATTCTCTTTTGAGTATATTGGTATATGTTCATTTCATCTCATTCATCACCATCTGCATTTATTTGTGAACTATGAATATATATGCCTGAGTTATCTGAATAATCCCAAGTGGGTACTTTAGTCTGAGTGAATTATTAGCACATCATTGTTGATATTTATCATTCTTCACACCTGTTTTTTTGACTGTTCAGTCACTTAAAGAATGAATGCCCTTAGAAATATCTCTAAATTCAATTCTGAATTACTAGATACAGAGGTTGACAAAGTTTTTCAAGTACAACCATATGATACTTTTTCAATACTCAGTTTTCCCCAAGTAGTTAGCCTTTCATTGGCATTTGAGTCATTTATGTAGCTTATTTGTAAGAAACATCTTGTTAGTGCTGCTGTTTACTTTTTTTTTATAAGAGATTAAAGAGTAAATTTTTTCCTCCCGATTGTCACTAAAACTAAATGGCTGTCATATCTTTCTTTATGCTCTCATTGTACTAATTGAGCTCATTTGACTATATCCATTTCTTCTGTTAAAGTTCCCTGGTTTTTTCCCTTTGCTTTCCATTAGGTCTCTTGATGGTCGTCTTCAGGTGTCTCATCGAAAAGGATTGCCACATGTTATATATTGCCGGTTGTGGCGCTGGCCTGACCTTCACAGTCATCATGAACTCAAGGCAATTGAAAACTGCGAATATGCTTTTAATCTTAAAAAGGATGAAGTATGTGTAAACCCTTACCACTATCAGAGAGTTGAGACACCAGGTAGGACAATGGCAGGGATTTTTCTTGCTTTGAAATTAAGTACCTAAGTTTAAGATATTCAGGTACTCTTATGACCCAAGGAAATTTAGTGTAAGATTCCAATGAATTACTTTATTCAGCATATTTTTTGGCAGTAGTTAAGGATGCTTTTTTTTTTTTTTTAAGATCTGTTTTTTAAATCAGAAAGGCAGATTTATAGAACAAGGTCTTCCATCCACTGTCTCACTCCCTAAATGTCTCACTCCACATTGGCTGGAGGTGAGCCAATTTGAAGCTATGAGCCAAAACTGCTTCTCCCACATGGGTACAGGGTCCAAGGCTTTGGGCCATTCCCTGCTGCTCTCCCAGACCATAAGCGTGCAGCTGGATGGGAAATGGAGCAGCTGGGACACAAACTGGTGCCCACATGGTATGTTGGTGCATGCAGACAAAGGGTTAGCTAACTGAGCCATTGGCATGGGCCCAGGATGCTTTTTTTTCCCCAAAAGTTTTTACATGTAAAAACATACTGTGTAGGGAATGGTCCATCAGTTTCACAGGATAATGTGGAATATGACATCAGAGTCATGTCCAGGAGCAGGTACCAGCTCTCTTGGAAAGTGATCTGATGCAGCTCTATTGTGCTCTAAGCAGTTTACTGTTCTCTCTGCTTTCAGAAGTATTCAGTGACATTGTAGTAAAACTCATAGCATTACTGTTTAGTTAGCTTTTTGCTTGCAACTTTGAAACATGGCTGCCTTTTTAGAAAATTTCCTGATTTCATAAATAAGGACACATCTCTCCTTAGTTTTCCCAGTGGGGATTTATGAACTTCTGTTGTATTTTTACACTACCAGTCATTTTGACTATAAACCCATGAGTTAAATTTAAAGTTGGAAAGTTATATGGTGAACTACAAGCTAATACAGAAAAACCTTCATCAGATTTGTCAGTTTCTTGGTTGCTGGTATAATGTCAGATAGATGGATGCTAACTTTGAAAACTAGGTTGAATAAAGTTCCCTATGCCTTTGCTCTTTGCATTGACTTAGATTTGTTTAACCCTTTCAGTTCTGCCTCCCGTATTAGTTCCACGGCACACGGAGATCCTGACAGAACTTCCTCCTCTGGATGACTATACCCACTCCATTCCAGAAAATACTAACTTCCCTGCAGGAATTGAGCCACAGAGTAATTACATCCCAGGTATTGTTGCCATCTTACTTTTCTGAAACTTGGATTAACACACATTTTACTTGTACATGTTCAAGTATTAGTAAATTGTGAGTTTGTTTTCTAAAAATTGTCAAGATTTTACATAGAAAATTTGATTTTTTTGGGTAATCATATATATATGGGTATATATGTGTATATATATTCACACACACGTTTAATCAGTTTATTGGGAGAAAATATTTATATTTTATTTTCTTTTGCAGTGACTTTAATCAAAATAGTGTAAGGCACAGAGAAGAAAAGCTGTTAGTAAGCTTTTGGTTGTTGGAGCTGGGAGATGCAGAGTGTGAGGAAAATCAGTGGAAAAGGAAAAAATCTGGCATGCTTTACCTTAAGTCATTTGGTAATGTTTGAGAAAAATGTAGTATGTTTTGTAGGAGATATGGTGTTTGATTCTGTAGATGCAGCAACACTCAGAAGAAAAACAGAAAAGCACTCTGTTTCAGTTAGGTTCATCTGGACCTCTGACTCAGTGACAAATGGAATTTCAAAGACATGGTTTTCCAGTTGCACCAGTGATATTCCACCATGTGGTACATGTTTAGATTTTAATATTGTTTAGGAGAGCAGTGAATATTTTGTTACTTTCTGTGAGTGTTTCTCTTTTTTTCTTTATCACCGTTAAAATCAGGATACCTGGATGAGGGGGAAGCTATTATGATGAAACTTCAGGGTTTTCTGTCTGTTCTGTTCCATTCTTTTTTTATTATTATTATTTCTTGCAAGTAAAAACTTAAGAATTTAAATTTAAAAACTTTTAAATTTAAAGAGTTTCATATATACAGAAAATTTACTTCAATGTATCCTTAACTGAAAACCCTGATTGTGCATTAGAAAAATGTTAAATGCAAGGGAAAGCTGTATGTTTTGTTAGTTTCAAATAGCTAGTTTTACAGATGGGAAATGGCTTCTTCTATGTTTCTTTGATTACTGTTTTAAGAGAATTTAAAGGCTGCTTCTTTTGATTGCTAGCAGATAGAGACTTTAGGAGGACTTGGAAGGAAAGAGGCAAGAATGAGGGATGCAGTTAGATGGGCTGGAATGAGGGGGAAGCTGGGCTGTGAAGTAGGACATTGAGTGGCAGCATCTAGCCTTTGCTTAATAAACTTGCTTTGAAATGTACTTGGAGGATGGGGGATCAGTGCGGGAGGTATTCGTAGGTCTTTGCTGTGAAATTTTTACTAAACAAACCTGGGGTCTGCGCCATGGCATAGCGGGCAAAGCCTCTGTCTGAGGCACCAGCATGCCATGTGGGCACCAGATCCTGTTCTGGCTGCTCTGCTACACAGATCCAGCATTCTGCTGATGGCCTCGAAATCAGTGGAGCAAGGCTTAGTTCGTTGGGACTCTGTACCCACTTGAAGACATGGAAGAAGCTCCTGGGTCCTGGCTTTGGATTGGCGCACTAGTCACTAGTGGCCATTTGAGAAGTAAACCAGAGATGGAAGATCTCTGTCTCTGTCTTCTCTCTGTAACTCTGCCTTTCAAATAGAAAAATAAATATTTTAAAAATATTTAACTTAGGTCTTAAACTTAGGTGTTACAAATACCCAGTGATTATTTGGAAGGATGTTAGTAAGAATATTGAGTGACTTTCACTTGTAAAGATATTTTAATTCATGTTCTCTTTTTAGTTTCTATATTTAATTTGGGTATTTTGTAAAGTAGAAAGTTCGAAGTAGCTTACACTAGTTTGCTTTTCTTGATAATAGTGCTTTATCTAGCTCCAAGTGACAGAAAAACCAGAAGATTCTTGTTTAGTCTACCTGAAAAAGAATTTAGTATTTTTTCTAATGTGCTAAATCATCTTAATAATAATGCAAATAAACATAGAAATTCAATGAAAAAGATATTTTAAAGTTCAGTATTTTCCTATTTAGACCTTCTGAAACATTGGTGGTTAAACTGGTGAAACTTAGGTATGCTTAGTTTATCTAGTTTTCCCTTTAAGGTGTAATAAGTATTATTCTTACTTTTATGTTCAGTATTGTTAGGGTATATGAAAATATTTTATTCTTAGAATTTTAGTGTTAAAAATTTGATCATACCAACAATTAGATGAAAAAAGTTTGACAGTTGGCCCAGCGCCATGGTTTAGTAGGCTGAGCCTCGGGCTGCAGAGCTAATAGCTCATGTGGACCGTGAGTTTGGATTCCAGCAGCTCCGTCTGATCCTGTGGCCAAGTGTGTGGAGACTTCTTTCCCTTTGTATATCCTTCTCATTAATTCTGCTTTTCAAATAAAATAAACAAAAAACAAAGTTGATAATTAAAAGTATTTATATGATATTTGAGACACTGTAAAGAATTAATGAAGGAGAGCCTTAGCCCATATTTTCCTTTTCCCGTTACAGAATATTATAAAGTTTACGTTAGGAATGTGTTTCCATCATCTTCTAATGCTTAAAATAGCTTAGCAATGTCAATGTGAAACTGCTCAAAATTTTGAATTTACTTTTCCTCATTGAAAATAACAGTGAAATTGTGTAAATGTTATTATTTTCTATGAATCATGATACCTCTTTAGATATAAACATTTTATTCAAAAATATGTTGGTTATGGGTTATTTGAATTTTACTTTTTATTTTCAGAGGCTGTTAACCTCTGTTTCATGATGGCTCTTGTCTATTTGGGTTCAATTTTTCTGCCTTAGCCTCTTAGAATCTACTTGTTAAAAATTCCTGGAGAAATGCAATTTGTGATTAGGGTTAAGGCTGGATCAGTCCTAAACCATATATTGTATGTTGCCCTACTGAGCATAGTACATATTGTAAGTGTTGCTACTTTTGTAATCCTGAGTCATATGTGTATTTGTCCTTTATCTTCTCAGATATGGTTCATGATGTTGATTAGTTTAAACAAATACGCAAAATGACATTATCTGGTCTTTGAGGCCTACTGATTCAGAACTGAAACATCTTTGCAATTATTTTTATGGCTCTTTGCAAGCATGACAGACATAGAGAGGGAGAGCTGTGTGTGTGTTCATGATACACATATATGTGTATATATTTATAGATATGTATATGAGCCAGCTATGTAAATAGTTCTAAGGAAATAAGCTGAGAAGTTTGCGCAATTGTATTTCAGTAGGTTTTAAGGACTCACCTACAGGATTTAGATCAGAACCTGCACTATAAGCTCTCAGTACATAGCACTGATTTTCTTTTTAAAATTTACTTGGAGTGATTCATTGGTTGCCTTTGGTATCTGGGAGAAAGAACAGAATACGTTGTAACTAAACCTAACTTATTCTAAACTTTGTAGAAACACCACCCCCTGGATATATCAGTGAAGATGGAGAAACAAGTGATCAACAGTTGAACCAAAGTATGGACACAGGTAAAAAATGTCTTTGAAAAGGCCTCAGATGTTAGATGAATAGCCAGGCATCTCTGTCCACAGGTTACATGTCCTCAGAGCCCACCAACTGCAATTAGAGATCGGGGGGACAAAAAAGCAAACCAAACCAAACAGAAAGTTATATCTGTTGAATATATAGACTTTTCTCATCCTTATTTCTTGAACAGTACAGGGTAGCAGCTGTTAACATAGCATTTACGTTGTACTAGGTATTGTTATGTACAAGTGATTTAAAGTTTATAGGATATGAATAAATTGTTTGCAAATAGTGCAAAATTTTATATAGGGAGCTTAAGTATAGCAGATTTTGCTGTCTTCTACGAGTCCTGGAACCAATCCCCTGTGAAGTCTATACATTGCTTTTATTGCCTGAGATGCTCAAGAAATGTTTCTCTTAAGTTTAGTGAAGCTGAGAAATTACAGAAAAATCTTAAGTCTTGCTGTCACATTTTTAAACTGACAAATGGAGCTGCTTTGCTGAATAATTACTAGAATAAGTGAAAATCTGAAAATACATGCTCTATTTGTTTTTAAAAGTATTCCCACGCTTATGTTTATCAAGTTTTGGTTCCTCTGTGGATATTCTTTCTGATCCATGACCAGAATCAGCCTGACTCGAGTTTGTTGAGAGACTTGAGTAGGGAGAGATGGTGTTTAGCTTTCAGTGCTCCTCTCATTGAATGCTGAGTTATGAATTCTAGCATGTTGTTCATTCACAGCGTAGCTTGGATCTAACCTATTTTGAATAGTTTTTGATAGTTAACTATCTGCTCCAGATAATTGTGGAAAAAAGCTTTATGAACAGTACATGTCACACACATCAAAGCTTTAAGTTAGTTGTTATGTAATAAAATGTTTAACCTAGCTGAACTAATAGATTACTAGTGAAATTGCTTTGATCCTGTAATTGTCCAGTCTGATTCAATGCCATCTGTCTTAAGGGTCACATACTTAAATATTTCATAACCTGATATATTAGATCATCAGTTTTTCTGTACATTTTATATTAAGCCGTTCCACAGTTAGCATCATCAAAATTATTTTAAATAGTTACCATTAGAAGGAAAGCTTGCACAGTATTTTTTTTTTTTTTTTAGTTTTTACTTTTTTAGATTTCAGGTTAAAGAAACCCTACTTAAAACAGCTGTTAGGAGTAGCAAATAACTAAGAAATTAGATAATCTCATGATCATGGGAACTACGTGGTATACAGTCTGAATACAAAATGGTTGAATTTCCAGATGTAGCTTAACATGCCTGGATGATAAAGAACTTTGTTCTCAGATGGACAGAAATGTTCTTTTTTTTTTTTTTTTTTTTTTAAGATTTATTTTATTTTTATTGGAAAGGCAGATATACAGAGAGGAAGAGACAGAGAGGAAGATCTTCTGTCCGATGATTCACTTCCCAAGTGAGCGCAACGGCCGATGCTCTGCCGGTCCGAAGCCAGGAGCCTCTTCCAGGTCTCCCACGCGGGTGCAGGGTCCCAAAGCTTTGGGCCGTCCTCGACTGCTTTCCCGGGCCACAGGCAGGGAGCTGGATTAGAACCAGCGCCCACATGGGATCCTGGGTGGACATTCAAGGCAAAGACTTTAGCTGCAAGGCCACGCCGCCGCCTGGCCGGAAAGTGGAAGTCTTCTTATGTTGCCAGTAGGATGTAACATGATTTCCTTGCTGTGGAAAGCATTGAGTTAACATAAGGTTCAACAGCCTTACTCTTAGGTATATTATATATACCATAGAAAATGAAAAGTAGGTCTATAAAAACTTGTACAAAATTGCTTGTGCAGGTGTTATAATATTCCCAAACCATAAAATAATGAATGAATGAATAAAATGAAGTGTAGCCCCCCTCTCCAGCAGATATACTAAGCTCCATAAAAGAATATGAAGAGCTATGACATGAGTGAAGCTTGAAACTAAAAAAGCATTTATGTTAATTGAAAAAAACCAGACACAAAAGATCACAGCACTTCTAGTTGGTTTGCAGACACCTGTTCAGTAATGGTTCTAGTTCTATTTTAGAAAGGTGATAATTGATAACTTCTAGAATGACACATTTCAAAATAGTACTTGTAGTAATTCTGAATTCTGCTTTATGTGATGCTAAAGGTTGATTTGATACCAGTTTCTTCATTGTCATTAATTTTTCTCTTAGTGCAATGGCAAGAACTGACGTTGTTTCTAATTGCTTCATACCTTCCATGGGGCAGGACAGTTAAGTTCATCTTTATTTCCTGCTGGGGCTGAATGAATTAAGATTTTTTAAAAGAAAAACAAATTAAGGAGTTTGCATTCTAAGAGATGTTGAGAAATAGAAATAATTTCTTCTATTCGTTTTTCTTCATCTACTCTATTGTAAGCAAATAGTGGGAAGTAACAGAATAGAAAACCATGTGTTTACCATTAAATATTTTTATTTAGACAAACAAAAAAAAACCTGGAAAAATTGGAGTAAGGACTTAGGTGAACTACCAATTGTTACTATATATTTTTTTTTAATTATTTAAAAAAGCTTCTGTTAAGTCTTTAAAACGGTATGGACGTTAATGATCAGGCTGAATAGCACATGGAATTTAGAAGTTGGCCTATTTTTTTAAAAAGTAGTATAAAGAGTGGGAAGGATTAAGGGTTAAGAAAAAGTCGGTGCATTCGTTGTTCCCAGGTTTCTATATATTTTTTCCCTATATCTGGGAGAAGGTGGGAATCAAGGGGAGGAGTTAGACTCAGCTTCTCATTTGCCCCACCACCTGGGGGATGGGGAACGGCCACCTAGTATCAACCCAGAGTGCTGATGTGGCGCATGCTCTGAGGGTTCTGCCCAAGTGGTTTCGATAGTTCTGAAATGTTGCCCATCTTGTTGATCCAAGGATGACAGTCCACCTTGGAGTCTTCTTTCCCCCAGATATTTGCCATCATCTTTGGGCTGGGATAGGTATCTAATTTGTTCAGTTGTTCTTTCCTCTGCTATGGTAACAGATGTCTTGTGTAGGGCCCAGTGGACTGCCATATCGTCTACATGGATCTGGGCTTAACTGTTGTGTTTTGTAATCAGTCCGTTTTCAAATCATGAGTTTTATGAACGTACATGTCCATATAGTTGAATTAAAAAATAGAATCAGGGCCCGGCGCGGTGGCGCAAGTGGTTAAGTCCTCGCCTTGCACGCCCGGGATCCCATATGGGTGCCGGTTCTAATCCCGGCAGCCCCGCTTCCCTTCCACCTCCCTGCCTGTGGCCTGGGAAAGCAGTCAAGGACAGCCCAAAGCTTTGGGACCCTGCACCCGCGTGGGAGACCTGGAAGAGGCTCCTGGCTTCGGATCGGCATAGTATCGGCCGTTGCGGCTCACTTGGGGAGTGAATCATCGGACGGAAGATCTTCCTCTCTGTATCTCCTCTCTGTATATCCGCCTTTCCAATAAAAAATAATAAAAATAAATCTTTAAAAAAAAATAGAATCAAGAGTATGGATATGGATTCCATACCCCCATTTCAGTCGTTCATCTTCTAAATGTAGTCTTGTCTAAGACTGTATTTGAGTAGATTGGGCCCCTGACCTTAGGTGATTAGGAACAGTATCCTTGGGAGAAGAGATGACAGCTGTTGGAATTAGCAGGTAGTAGCAAGCAACATCAGAGATTCTTGGAGAAACTACAAATTATAGAGGAAGACTTGAAATAAGTTCTTCACTAGAGCTTTTGTGAGACCGTTGTCCAGCTGATTGATTGGGGATTCTGTCCTGCAGAATTTCAAAAGAACAAATTTTTATGGTTTGAGGCAGTGAATGTGTGGTACTTGGTGACAGCAGCTCTAGGCAGCTAGCGTAGTAAGGTGATTTTGAGAGAGTACTGATATTAAATACGCATTTAGTAATTTGAAAATTGCATACAAATGCTTATTGGACATTTCAAAGTATGTGCAAAAGTTAGAAATTAATAGGAAATTACTTATTGGCAAGTGTTCACATGTTCCCTTGGAAGACTGTTTCTGTGGCCAGAGGCATATACTTGGATAGCGTCATAAAACTCTGAGCTGGACCTCTGAGTTTGAGTTGTCTTGTTATTAGCTTATTTGTAAAATAAGAGTTGTACCTAATTCACAAGAATCAACAGTTACTTTTTATAAAGCAATTGAAAGTTTTCCAAGCTCAAATTAAGTATGATACGAATATATGTGAAAAAAAATATTGACTATCAAATAAAATGAAGAAAGTGCATTGCACAGAGGTTTGAAGGAAAACAACAAACAAATCCAGACAGGTGTAGTTCACCTTCATGGTCCTTGTCTCTATACGATAGGAATATGGGTTGTCAATAATATGGGGTCAGATTTGAGAACATCAGGATAGGGCTCATCTCACTGCCTTGTTACCTGGTTTTGGTGAAAAGGTGCAGTATATATTTACTATGAGATATTTGTATAGCGTTATCTGTCATTAGATAGGTTCCCCAGCATTTTATGCTTTTTAGTGCTATTACAAATGTTGCCATTTTTAAATTTTATTTTCTAGCTATTTTCAAGGATATAGAAAAAAATTTTCACGTGGTTCTTCTTTCCTGCATTTCTACTAAATTCATTTTTTGGTTTTAGTATTCTATAGGCTTTCAAGATTTTCTGCGTACACAGCTGTGTCATCTGTTGCATAAGAACATTTCCAGTCTTATTTCTAGTCTATATACCTTTTTCTTTTCCTGTCCCAGCTAAGATCACCATAAAAAATTGAAGTGGTAATAATCAATATTTTTGCATTGCTCTCTGTTCTAATGGAATTCTGTAGTACTAAATAAAATAAGATGTTAATTGGGAATTGTTTCTTTTCTGATCCTGATATTCTGGATTTTTTTTTAAATAAATGGTTGTTGAATTTTGCCCAGTTTTTTTTTTTTTTTTTTTTTTTTTTGGTATCTGAGGAAAATCATTTCTGTGTATACAAAGATTTCAAAAAATGTTTTATACCAAAATAAGCTTAATCTTTTAATTCC